GCCTCAATGGGTATACACACACAGAGCACCGTGTGAAGAGAAATGGCAGGAAATGAAGATGGCTATTTGTCACATTTTACGACAATAACATTAATAACAAACAATAAATTTACATGGACATATAAGACGCGGTAGGTAGTGAGAAATCCCTTCTACTTACAATACCCCAGCCCGCGGTGTGGCTCCGGCTGCGGGGCTGTTTTATTGCTGTCTCCCTTTCTTTTTCTCTCTCTCTCCCTCTCTCTCCCCCTCTCTCTTTTTTTTTTCTCGGGGTACAGGCTTGTTTTTCAAAGGACAGTTGAATTGCACGTCAGAAACAGGGAGACCGAGCCTGCGATTTTCCTGACGAATACATATCTATTCTGCAACCTCGGCATTAATTATTTAATGAATCACGTGACCGGGAGGGGGAAGGGGGTCTTTCGATTTCAGGCTCAAAGGACCACTATGACCTTCCCCTTCAGGAGGAGAAATTTTCCTGCAAAATAAGTTCCCCCCGAACCCACCAATGGAACAGTAGTGAGGTCTCCGTCTGTCTCCCACACTCACATCCATACCTACTACATCTGCAGCTCCTTAACCCCTCTGGACACACACTTACCCACAGCCCACCTCTCCTCTCTCCCTTCTCCTCTTGCTTCTGCTTAGTTCGTGGAGGTGCAGAAATAGTCTGCAGGGGCGTCTGGGGGGTGGGGGTGGGGTGGGCACAGAGCCCTTCTCCAAGCCCCTGGATTTCTCAGCTTCCAGTTCTCTCTGCATCCTTTAGGATTAAGATTTCCTCCCCAGCTGCATTTTCTCCCCCACTCCTGGGGGTATTTATTTGAGTGGGACTTCCTAAATAATGGACAAAATTTCTGAAGGAGCCACTTTGAAAATAAACACTTCATAAGTCCGTGGTATAAGTGGATAAAGAATGGGACTTCTGGCTTTATTCTCATTTTGATCTTTTCTGGTACCTTTTGAAGGGGCAAAAAAGGGACAGGGTGAAGAGATTACTCTGGAGCTTTTAGAGTTGAGAATAACCACAAGGGGGACTTTTTTTCCCTCTTGTGTTGTTACTACTATAGGAAACCAAATGTGACTGACCGTTTGAAAATAGATTCTAGAGACAAAGACTGGGACTAAGGTTTCTACACAAAAGAATCGGACTGTCAGCCTCTCCCTACCTATGTCACACCCTGTCCCATTCCCCCCCCCCCTTCCCAAACCCACCAGTGAAGACAGCTGGAGATTTGAACAGGAGAGGAGGGAAAAGAGACGAAAAGCTTTGAAGTCAGCCTGGCAGCCCCAGGATCCCTATTTCCCAGGTGTTAGCACCCCGAGCTTCCAATCAACAAACAATGGAGGCTGGTCAATGGGAAAAAGATGGGGAACGGCTGTGCCTGTTAAAGGGTTAAATATCAGGGACTATCTATTCCCTAGGCCTAAAGAGAGAGACACACAGACCCCTTCACCTCAAATATAAACAAAATAAAACAAGAACAATCCCCCGCCCAAACTTGACCAGTTACTTGCAACTAGAATCAGAGTTCTCGGCCGGGGCATGGGGTGGGGGTGGGGATGCAAAGGGAAGCAGAAAAGACATTCCTGAAGAAGCCGCAGCCTTATCTGTCCTCAGCAGCTCTCGAGGCAGCCAGGACCACAGCCTACAGGGCAGGCGGGGAATCCAGGAAGAATGAGCTTTAGGGTAGGGGAGCAGGGATCTGAGGGGCCTCCCCCAGCTTGTTTGAAGGGGTCTAAACCAAAGGCAACTCAGTGGAGAGAAGGTTGAGGACCCGGTTGTCTTAACAAACCCCAAAGAAACAGCCACCCCGGTCTCAGCCTCGGAGGTTCCAGCTACAGTGGCAGCTGCACAGCTTCTGCCCCAGCCAAAAGCACTGGAATCTGCTCTGGCCTCATGGGGTGGGGGCGCCGGCCAGGCCTGGACTCTGTAGGGGAGGTGGTCAGCTTTGATTGTCCAGATACAAAACACAGACTGGTATTGAATTCAGCCTGATCCCGACGTGGGCCCTGCTCCCGGCTCCAGCGAGGGCAACTCCCTGAAAGGTTCTGGCCACAAATCCATTAAAAATGGTCCTCCAAAGAAAAACACTCTGCTAAAGTCTAAAATCAAAATAGAGAGCAGAGAGAGAGAGGAGAGAGAAATGCTGGATATGGGAAGAGAGCAATCTCTAAAACGGAGAAATAATTTTTAAGGACAAGAAAAAGAACAGCAAAATGACACGAAGGCATGCCGGCAGGTTGTGTTAAAATGACCACACTCTTTTTGGATCCTGGGAATGTCCACGTTCAAATAAACAAGCGCCTGATCGCGAGCCGAGCACTTTCTTGCTGCCGATAAAGTGAACGTTTACACTGTGAGAAAGGCGAGATTGATTTACGAATCTGAACGCGCCAGTTTTATGGCTGATCACAAATCCGTCAGCGCTCAACTCACGCTGGGAAACTTCCCAACTCCGTTTTCCAACCAGACCCCCTCCCCAGCCGCCACTTCCCAGGGAGACCCACCGCCAGTGCTGGGGCCGCCTCCGAGGGCTCTGGCAGGACTGGGCAACCCCCTCTGCCCAGGACAAGCGGGTGGAAGTAGGAGAGAGAATGGGGAGGGCCGAGGGAACTGGGGAGAAAGAGGGAAAGAAATCAGAAGGTTGGGAGAACTGGAGTGGCACTAGGATTGTCTGGAGTGAAGGAAATGGGAGATCTGGCAGTTCTCCTTCGTGAACCCCAGCTTTCTCTGACTATGGTCTCTCTCATTTTCCCTTTGATGGGCCCTAATCCTCACACTGCAGAAAGCAGTTTGTAAAGTCCCTGGCGACTAGGTCTTTGTCACTTGAGCCTATAGAGGGCCCACAACTGGCTATCTGCCCTTATAGGTAATGAATGCACATCTCCCTGAGCTCCAAATATTTTTAGTCCAGGAGCAGCCTAGCTTGCTTTGTGCTCATCCTCTTTCCTTCCTGAGGCCTCCAGCCCCTCTACTTATGCCACCCAGGGATAAAGGAGAGACTATCAACCACTCCAGCTATTTATTGCCTGAAATAGAGTCCCCAAATTTCAAGAAACCATTTACAAAATGCAAACCAACAACCCACATATCCCAGCAAGGTTCTGTCTCTCCTAGTCTTAACTGAAGGGGAACATTTCGTCCTCCCAGCCAGCGTCTGTCTGTGTCTGTCTCTCTTTCTCTTTCTCTTTGTCTCTGTCTCTCCCCAAGAGGATGGCTGCTGGTATGGATTTTTAAGATACAGCAAACAGAAAACAGTTTTTGGAAAGGCTCTATGTTCAGGGCTCACTGTTTGACAAATCCTCCATCTATTTCTTAAAAGTTTCTGGAAACTTTGGCTAAGCTGGGACAGCAGGCCCTGGAAAGTACTCAGAATAGTCTGCACTGATCCTCCTCCCATTTCCCTTGCTCCTCTGGTGGGTGAGGCACTCCAAGGGCTTTTTTTGGTTATTGGGGAGATTAAGAATTAGGGGAAAGAGGTAAAGGTGATTGTAGAAATAGCTTCCTAAACAAAGGAACTTCAGAAAATGGGTTGATAGGCTGTGGATTTGGATGTCAGCCCTCAGAGAGATGACAGCCTGTGAAGCAATGTTCATGGCAGAAGCCCTTTCTCTTCGCAGCTCAGGAGTTTATTCCTCTGGCCCTCTGAAGCCTTGTGGATTAGGCCCCTCCAACCTCTCATATCTTCTCCCTTTGTCTTTCTTCCCTCAGTTCAGTTCCCTCCAAGTGAAACAGTAAAGAGATGAACTGGACCTGGGAGTGGTGCCGGGAGGATGGCTGGAGTCTGGACTGCTGAAGGTGCTGTGTACAGAGAGACAGATAAGCACCCTACTTTCCTACCCCGACTGGACCCTTGGGCTAAAAATCTTTATGTCTTTTCCCCCAGTGGACAGTAATAGAAAAATAATCCAAAAGTTTCAAAATAGCAAAGATGGGTTTGGGGCCTAGAGGGGTTGGAGAAGATGGGACATATGATGGGCCAAGGACCTCTCCCTGCAGAGGTGTGACTCTCCCTCCTGGGCAGGAGGCAAAAGCCAACACAATGTCCAGTCTCAGCGAGGTCAAGGGGCTTCCGAGGTCATTTTGTGGTTCTAATACTGAGCTAATCGCCTAGAAAACGTGGCCTCTCCATGAACTCTCTCTCCTGCCAGCCTCCCGCCTCCAAACCCTAAGTGAGGCCTCAGGGAAAAAGGGCCAACACATTCAGGTCGGCTGCAGAGCCCCCTGACTCCCTCAGCCTAAGAAACAGGGCTGCAGAGGAGAGAACAGAGACCTCAAATTAGGAGAGCAAAGGGAAACCAAACCAACATTGCTCCTTCAGGAAGTAGGCTGGGGGGACAGAGCAGAAGAGAAATATTTCTGCATCAGTGCACCTCGCCTGTGAACTGAGCAGTTTCCTGCTCCAGAGAGTAGCACGTATTTGTCTAGAATCCCAAGCTCGACACAAGAAGAAAAACAAGAACATATATCCATTTATACCCGCTCCAAAGCTGGAACATTCCATTCAAGCACTGGATTTGATTTTTCCAGGAGGCAGCAGTGACAGCATCGCACCGGTAAACAGGCATAGGGGACACCAGTCCCCAGTGTAGACAAGCAGAGTCACAGGAACACACCGACCACATGTGGACCTCACTAGACACACCCATGCACACATGCTGGAGCTCGCTGTGCCTGCCTGCATTTTCCAAAACCAGAAAAGCGCTTCTGAACTGCCTCACAGAACAACCTTCTTCTCTGGGGTTTTTCATGGGTCCTGACACCTCAGTCCCAACCAATTCAAACACTCTCCAGGTGTTGAGGCCCCTCTCTCTCTCCCTCTGACCCAAGCATCAGTCATCATAAAAGGGAGCAAACCTGCCCAAGCATCCACCGTAAAAACCCAGCCAAGAGAGTTAAAAAACAAAAAGGAGGAGGCGAGAGAGTGTTTCTTCTTTCACTTGTGAAAAGAGCTCATAAAACGATCAAAACACGCCAGCCTGGGCCAGGGCTTTGTTACCTTTGCGCCTCTCGCCTCCTCTCGCCCGAACTCCGCCGATCCCATTCATGACGAAGGGCTTCTTCCAAACTGAGAGAAAAAAGTTTTCAACTTTATGGTTCCAAATTTTTTCTCCCTTGCAGATCCGGGAGAGACGGCTAACACTTTTTTCCCCCAACAGCCGGTCTGAGGAGATTTGCTGTTGAATAATAACAAAGGAGAGAGGATACGTATTTAAAGAAAAGAAGTGATTAATGGTTTTCTGTATAATTCTCACATTTTTCTTAGCTCTTGTCTACACAGAATGGCTGTGAACTTTAAGCTCCATAGAAATCTTTTTTTTTAAATTCTATTCATACCTTCCAAAGAGCAGCTTTGATTTGGTTCTTTAGAGACATTCCTTGGGGGGGCATATGCTTTTTTAAGAACTATTTTCCCCCTCAACTCGGGGCTTCGGCATCCCCTTGCAGCTAAAACACCACACCACAATCCGACCGAAGTAAAGCTCGCCCCTCTCATCCTCCAGGTCCACGACGATTTTTTATGAGTCTCCCAGCAGCATTTAAACGGACAGTTCAGCAGCCCTTTCTCGGCTGGGGACACCGGCCTGCCGGTTCCCCCTGCCCTACCCGTTCCCCCTGCCCTACCCAGCCTCCAACTACCAGAGCTGCAAGCTGGAGGAATGCAAAATAAATAACAATAAAATGCGCGGGTGGGGGGGTTGGTTCTTTTTATTTTCTGAAAGGAAATGGGACTGAAAAAACGACTTTTAATTGCATATGCTCTCCCGAGCCCCGAGCTTTTTGGAGGTGGGGTGGTTGCACCCTGGACGACCAATGGACCAGAGACCCTAAGGCTGGAGCTCCCAGACCTCAGAACTTCTAAGCAGTGCTGCACGAAAGCAATTCCAGCCTGACAGAACTTCTGAGGGTCACCTGCACCCCTTTCCCCTACCCCCACTCCATTCTAGGGGTGACTGGGACCTCAGAGACAGAAAGCTATTTGGTCCCCAGTCATACTTTCGATACTTTCTATGAGAAAGAAAATGAAAATTAATACTGGAGCAAGGCTTCACAAAAGAGGCCATTTGTCTTCTTGATTATCTATTTGCTTGTCAGAGTTTGAGCTATGGCACTGGCTAGCTCCTTTGTAATATAAAAATACTCTGAAAACCTGCAAACACCCAGAAACATCTGTGCAAAAAATTAGACTCATTAAAGCCTTAAACACCTCAGAGGAAAGCGATACCTTCTTATGCTGCAAGGAAAGAGGCCAGCCTCATGGAATCCTCTCTCGGAACTTTAATAACCAAAGAGCCGTCTGTCTAGAAGGAGACAGCTTAACCGCATTTTATTTGCTTATGACAAATAAATCACGATATGAAAGGCTTTGCCATACTTAAGCCTCTTGTGTCCTACAATGAAACATTTTCCCCCATTAGGGACTGGAATCAGCCCTCCCAGTCCTTTCAATCCATTTTTGGACTGAAGGGAAAAAATTAAAAGCCCCAAAACAAAACACACCCACCCTAAAAGGAAAACAAACCAACCACCACAATTTGGAGTCCTCTGAGATAAAAATTCCCATCAGACTCTTTGACAAAAAATCTTCAACCACACACAATGTGAGGCTGAACCCACTAGGGTGCTTAAAATATACACTGGGTGGCATTTGTCCATATCTTTACGCCAATGTTTCAACAAAAACACGCTATGCTGGTCACAAGAAACCAAACATTTATTTCTATTGTCACTCTGTACAGCACACAGATATTCACAAGTAGGAAGGGTTCTAAACTCAAGCAGCCCCAGAGGTACGAAAGGGCCTGGTTTTGGAATGTCAGAAAGAGAAAAGGAGAGAGGACGCACATGACACAAAAAAAATAGTAATAATAATATTATCAATACTAATAATAAACGATGCAACATGATAAACTATGGGAGAGGCCTCTGCAACATCCTCCTCCCAGACTGGGAGGGGCACATTTTATTTCCTAGTTTCACATTCATTTTCAGTCTAGGAGAGAGGCCTCTGCTGTACAACTCTGGACTGGCAGAGTAGTGCCCAGCTCCCAGAACTCAACTGGCCCCTCACCCTGCCAGGCATGGCTTGGCTTGGCCTTCCAGAGGAAGGCCCTCCCGGGTCTCTGAGTCTCTCTTTTTCCTTGGACTCAATTTCCCTCCTCACTCCTGAGTTGTCAAGGCCACCCGCTCCCCTACTTGCTCCCCTCCTCTGTTCCCCACCCCCCAACCCCACGGTGGAAGTGGGTGAGCAGTCATTCTGGCCCTCCGCGAACGGGCACGGAGGATGAGGGAGAGTGTGTGTGCGTTTGTTACCGTGGCCAAAACACTGCACTATCTGGCAGTCAGAGGGTGCTTTCGCTGGGTATCGGGAGTGGGGGACAAAGAAAGGAAATCCAGGCTGTCTTCCAGCAACGGCAGCAGCAGAGGCGGAGGCGGCCGAGCCGGGCCTCATTTGTTAGCGGGTGTCGAGGTAATGGTCGTCACCGAGGCCCGTCCTCTCCTCGGCAGAGTAAACAAGACAGATGGGCCTGGGCCTGGCGTGATTAAAGATGAAACGTGGATCCATCTTCGCCAAAGCTGAAAACGAGGAGCTGCAGCCTCCTCCTATTTCTCTTTCTGTTTTTTTCTTCTTCCTTCTTCTTTTTCTTTTTTCTTTTTTTTTTCTTTTTAAGGAAGAAAGCAAGAGATTTGAATCTTGCTTCTGGGGGGGCCTGCCCGTGGCCCTCTATTGTCATTTCTATAAATAAAGCTTCCCCTCCCCCTCTTCTGCGTTTATTCGCATATAAAGTGTGGGGGAGGGCAGATAGATTTTTCCGGGGCCCAGGCCCCAGGGCCCCCTCCTGTCCCCCCACCCCATCCCCTGCACTCACTGCCCACCCCCACCCCGAGGTTCGTGGCTCCCGCGTGCGGGGGCACTAGAGCGCGGGGGGTCCTCCATTGGGCCGGCCAGGGGTCCCTCCGGCTGAGCCTGCCGCACCACCCGAGCGGATCTTGGTGTTGGGCAACTTGTGGTCTTTTTTCCACTTCATGCGCCGGTTCTGGAACCAGATCTTGATCTGGCGCTCGGAGAGGCAGAGCGCGTGGGCGATCTCCACCCTCCGGCGCCGTGTCAGGTAGCGGTTGTAGTGAAATTCCTTCTCCAGCTCCAAGACCTGCTGGCGAGTGTAGGCGGTCCGAGAGCGCTTGGGCTCCCCGCCGGCGTAATTGGGGTTTACTGGACACACACGGAGAGAGGGAGAAAGAGAAAGTTTTATTGCCCCCGAAAGGAAGAGCCCTTTCTTCCAGCGAACACAGTGTTTCCCTCCCTCCCTCTCCCGACACCTCTTCTTCCTTCCGAGGGAGAGGGGGAAAAACGAAAAGGGAAGAATGCAAGACCCAAGAATGAGAGAGACCTCCAAGTTTTGGAGAGCTGTGCTGTGTCCTTGTTGTTTGGGTGTCTGGTGGGGAGGGGGGACATGTGAGAACTCCCCCAAGGTTTTAATTGCTCCTCTCTCTCCCTCAGCTTGGGGCCCCCAGAATGGGAGAATAAGGGGGTGGAAGAGGGAGGGGAGGTTTCCCTAAACCTTTCCTCTGTTTAGTTCCCACCCTTGCTCCTCAGATTCCAAGCAGTGCCTGCCCCTACTGAAAACTTTTACCTACTTCTCCAGCCAAGGAGTCAGACTGGAAGAAAGGAAAAAATAAATACTGGGAGTTGACTCAACTCTGCTTAAATACGGATTACCTCCTCCTCCTTCTCCTCCTCCATCTCCTGCACCCCTCCCCAACTTCCAACTTCACTGAGACTGTATCTCCCTGGCGAAAAAGTCGCTGGTGAGAATGGTGAAGAGGATGGGGAACCTACTTCAAAGGCTCAGGGCCCACCAGGCCATAAAAATTTATGGGGGATGTAATTATGTGGCTCTGAAAACAGGCGACCGTAAATCTCTGGCAATGGCGAGTTTATAGCGGGGACAATTGGCTTCCCCAGCTCACTCCCCCACCCATGCCTCCGAGGTCCCTTTGGTGTAAAGCTCCAGGGGTGGGAGGGGGAAAGGGTGCCCACGCACTCACCCGTGCTCACGTGAACTTTGCGCATCCAGGGGTAGACGACTGGCTCTTTGCACGCGGAGTGGGACGGGCTGGGGTGCAGGGGGTTCTGGGCGCAGGGAGGCGGCGGGGGGCTGCTGCTGACCGCCTCGCAGCGCTGGCCAGGCTCCGGGAGGAGGGCCCCGGCGGGTGGCGGCGCAGGAGCCCGAGGGGACAGCCCGGGCGGTGGCGGGGGCGGCGGGGGTGGTGGCGGAGGCGGCGGGGGCCCAGGGTCCCGGCAGGCCGCATAGCGCTGCACGGTGCACGCCGCGCGCCGCCCGAAGCCCGCCTCCGGCTGGAAGCTGCTCTCTCGCCTCTGGCCGCCGGCGTAGTACCCGGGCGAGTGGTCGCTGGGTAGGTAATCGCTCTGTGAATATTCCTCGCATGGAGGGAACTTGGGGTCGACATAGTTTGAGTTGATCAAAAAAGAACTCATAGCCATTAATTTCTGGGAATTGCCCACAAAATATACTAAAATTTATTCCGACCCCTGACTCGTTTTCCTGTTTCCGAAAGCCCTCCTACTTACTGTCAAGTGAACAAAGTTAGGCGCCCACGTGATCCTCCGAGCCAATGGCCGACCCGCCTGTGATTCCCGGATAAGGAAATCTGCTCACCCGGACCCCACTCCAGCCACAGAGGTTTATTTCCCCTTCTTCTCTTCCCCCTCCCCACCCACCCACCCAACACCAGGATTTACATAGGGCTCCTGCGGGGCGACCCCCTCCTTGCCTCGCTCTCTCTGGGATCAGAGACAGGGAGAGAGCGCGCGCAGGTTGCGACTGGAGGGCCTGTTGGGGCGCTGGGCAGAGCGCAAACCCTAGATCCCTTAAGAAGTTGGGGCTCCCGGTGTAGCCCCTCCTGTTCTGCCTCACCTCTGCCCAGCATTCTCTACCTTCCATAGGCCCCAGTCTCCTCCCCTAGGCAGGAGGGAGCCCTAGCACCCTGCATCTCTATGGGGAGTTAGGTTACTGGCAGGCTGGGGGCTCCGTCTCGAAAGGGGAACCCATACGGGGGCCAGAGCATAGAGCTTGGGGCTTTTCTCTGCAGCCGGATGGGGAGGGGTAGGGGTGAGAGAGGAGGCGTCCAGAGCTAGAGGGCGGGTGCGCAG